TATGTGATGAGGAAGGAAGACCTGAAAAAGAGTGTGTGATGAGGAAGGAAGATCTGAACAAGAGTGTGTGATGAGGAAGGAATGTCTGAACAAGTGTGATGAGGAAGGAAGACCTGAACAAGAGTGTGTGATGAGGAAGGTCTGAACAAGAGTGTGTGATGAGGAAAAGTCTGAACAAGAGTGTGTAATGAGGAAGGAAGGTCTGAATATGAGTGTGTGGTGAGGAAGGAAGGTCTGAACAAGAGAGGGTGATGAGGAAGGAAGGTCTGAACAAGAGTGTGTGATGAGGAAGGAAGGTCTGAACAAGAGTGTGTGATGAAGGAAGGTCTGAACAAGAGTGTGTGATGAGGAAGGAAGGTCTGAACAAGAGTGTGTGGTGAGGAAGGAAGGTCTGAACAAGAGATGGTGATGAGGAAGGAAGGTCTGAACAAGAGTGTGGATGAGGAAGGAAGGTCTGAACAAGAGTGTGTGATGAGGAAGGAAGGCCTGAACAAGAGTGTGTGATGAGGAAGGAAGGTCTGAACAAGAGTGTGTGATGAGGAAGGAAGGCCTGAACAAGAGTGTGTGATGAGGAAGGAAGGTCTGAACAAGAGAGGGTGATGAGGAAGGAAGGTCTGAACAAGAGAGGGTGATGAGGAAGGAAGGTCTGAACAAGAGATGGTGATGAGGAAGGAAGGTCTGAACAAGAGTGTGTGATGAGGAAGGAAGGTCTGAACAAGAGTGTGTGATGAGGAAGGAAGGTCTGAACAAGAGTGTGTGATGAGTAAGGAAGGCCTGAACAAGAGTGTGTGATGAGGAAGGAAGGTCTGAACAAGAGTGTGTGATGAGGAAGGAAGGCCTGAACAAGAGTGTGTGATGAGGAAGGAAGTCTGAACAAGAGAGGGTGATGAGGAAGGAAGGTCTGAACAAGAGTGTGTGATGAGGAAGGAAGGTCTGAACAAGAGTGTGTGATGAGGAAGGAAGGTCTGAACAAGAGTGTGTGGATGAGGAAGGAAGGTCTGAACAAGAGTGTGTGATGAGTAAGGAAGGTCTGAACAAGAGTGTGTGATAAGGAAGGAAGGTCTGAACAAGAGTGTGTGGTGAGGAAGGAAGGTCTGAACAAGAGTGTGTGATAAGGAAGGAAGGTCTGAACAAGAGTGTGTGATGAGTAAGGAAGGTCTGAACAGAGTGTGTGATGAGGAAGGAAGGTCTGAACAAGAGTGGTGTGATGAGGAAGGAAGGTCTGAACAAGAGTGTGTGATGAGGAAGGAAGGTCTGAACAAGAGTGTGTGATGAGGAAGGAAGACCTAAACAAGAGTGTGTGATGAGGAAGGAAGGTCTGAACAAGAGTGTGTGATGAGGAAGGAAGGTCTGAACATGAGTGTGTGATGAGGAAGGAAGGTCTGAACAAGAGTGTGTGATGAGGAAAGAAGGTCTGAACAAGAGTGTGTGATGAGGAAGGAAGACCTGAACAAGAGTGTGTGATGAGGAAGGAAGGTCTGAACAAGAGTGTGTGATGAGGAAGGAAGGTCTGAACAAGAGTGTGTGATGAGGAAGGAAGGTCTGAACAAGAGTGTGTGATGAGGAAGGAGGTCTGAACAAGAGTGTGTGATGAGGAAGGAAGGTCTGAACAAGAGTGTGTGATGAGGAAGGAAGGTCTGAACAAGAGTGTGTGATGAGGAAGGAAGGTCTGAACAGAGTGTGTGATGAGGAAGGAAGGTTCTGAACAAGAGTGTGTGATGAGGAAGGAAGGTCTGAACAAGAGTGTGTGATGAGGAAGGAAGGTCTGAACAAGAGTGTGTGTGATGAGGAAGGAAGGTCTGAACAAGAGTGTGTGATGAGGAAGGAAGGTCTAGAACAAGAGTGTGTGACACCGGCTGGATTTTCAAATTACATAATAGTTTAGATAAATTAAGTCTTCAGTGAAAGTTTCTTCAGTTGATCACACAACAGCAAGTAATAACCCTGCTGAATTTTAGGAAATTTTTTGTGAGGATGGCAAGGAGCCACAGTAAGTGTTTAATGCTGATAAGTGTGTATTGGAAGAAAACGTCGTCATGAACTTTAAATATTTCCGTTTGCTGAAGCTGTTGCAAAAGCCTCGAGGCCTTGGATCCTCAGATTGTGAAAAGTAAATCGGTGTAGTCAATTATCCACTAATGGCTCATTTTCCTCACTGGTAACATTGTAATAAAGTTGGTAGAATTACCGACAATATGTAAAGTAAAAGGACACAAGTGCAACTAATGTGACATTTTATTGTGGCAACGTTTCGCTCTCCAGGAGCTTTATCAACGCAGTTGAACCGGCGATCCAGTTTACACTAGAAGAAGAGTCCAATGACAAGCTACCTTTCCTCGACGTCTTCATTCACAAAGTAGACAACAACCTAAGATTTCAAGTTTATCGGAAACCTACCAATAAAAATGATCTCACACACTTCTATTCCAGTCAAGATACCAAGATCAAAAGATGCATCATCATCGGGTTTTTCCTAAGAGCATACCGAATTTGTAGTCCTGAGTTTCTTGACGAGGAATGTACATACATTCACCAAACATTCACTGAGTTACATTTTCCTTCCTTTTTCATCAAAGACTGCAAGAAAAGAGCTCTTCAGATCCTTGATTCTCCACGCACTAACACCACTCCCAACAAAGTTATAATTCTTCCCAACAGCCAGGTTGCACTGAACTTTTCTAAAGTACTTTCACAAACTAATACCAGAGTCGCCATCGCCTCTAGCACTTTAATAAAGGATCTAACCAGGACAAAATCAAAGCACCACGAACCAGTCAACGCAGGAGTTTACACTATACCCTGTGGAGGCTGTGACAAGATTTACATAGGCGAAACAGCAAGAAACCTCGACACCCGCCTGTAGGAACGATAACTTGAACAACGCCTGTGTACAAAACCGAAATTCCACCAATCATCTCATGAAATTCAGGGACGCCCAATTAGTGATCAAAGAAACTAATTTCCGCAGACGCAAGTGCCTCGAATCAGCACTGATCGCTGTTTCGAATACAATTTAACAAAACAACGGCAGCTTCACCATCTCTGAAGTCTTAGCAAGAATCCTCCTGAAAACAGTAAACCCTGCCATCACATAGTCTCTCCTGTTATACTACACAAAGCACATTACAGAGACTGAACACTGAAACAAGCTGCCTCTATCCAGTCTATATTTGTCCAACCTATTTTTATGTTACCCAAGCAATAGCTTTTATATCCTTTTACTCATGTACGAATTAATTGCTCTACCATATTGTATTACTACTACTACTATAACTTTTGTCACTACTACCACTACCACTAGTATTGCACCTCACTCTGAGCCTATATATACCCTCTGTGTCCATGTATTGTCTGTAATGGCTTGATAAAGCTCCTGGAGAGCGAAACGTTGCCACAATAAAATGTCACATTAGTTGCACTTGTGTCCTTTTACTTTACTGGTAACATTACCTGGTGTTTAAGTTCTTGAAACAGAATAACTGCTGCTCCAACTTCCATTTGGATTAAAGTGTATGAGACAGAGCGAGGGCGTGATGAACCTCTGTGACCGCACCTGACGTCTATCATGCTTAGTTTGTGCTGACCACAGTCAAGCGCTACTGTGGAGAGAATGTTTTCCACTGTAAATTTACCACATGACAACAAAATTAAGAAATAAGTTGTCATCAGGCACTCTGACTGGAATGTTTCACACTTAAAAGAGTCATCTCTCGAGAGTTTTATAGTTGTAGAGTAACTAGGGAACTACCAAGCATAATGAATCATGAAATATATGAAAAATACGGCACTGAGGCACAAGTTGCTGCTGATGAGGATTAAGTTCACATGAGTTGTATGTTATGGAACAAATCATTGTATTTTACCTTGTGTTTTTTTTATTGTTAATGTCACCAGTGTCATGTTTCAGCATCACTGTATACTGTGAAATAAATGTCAATGTAAAGGTATACTCCAGGTATAATTTATAGCAAAAGTTGTTTAATATTTTTATTGGGGTAAAATTAATGTTTAAATATGTCAGTAATGCAGTTGAACTTTACATATGCACTGTGATGCTACTTATAAAGAAAAACGAATTTTGATTTAATATAACGATGTTTTACATCGAATTATACCGACCTTGTGTCAGTAGCGTCTGGTAACACTGCCTCAGTGTACTACCAACCTTGGTTATAAGTGGGTGTGATGTAACTCGCTCTGGATACACATCATTATCTTGGCTTAGGATTGAGATATGAGGATATTTTTTCCACTCGGTCACCAGTCATCCCTTCTTTCAGAAAACAGCTGCCGCGTAGCACAGTCTACGTTAATCAGTGAAAAAAGTCGACTAGCCAGCATTGTTTACTTCATTTCTTCTATGCTCTATATGCCATAGTCCAATATTACTTAATCCACCCTGTAATCTAGAAGATGTTTGTATCCACGTTCAATTGATGGTACGTTCAATTGATGGTACCTGTGACATGGAATACAGGGAAATAAGCAGACAGAATCTGAGGCGAAAGTTTCTAAATAATCTCTCACAATACTAAACTTGTGTCTCACAGTAACTTCACTGGCCAAATTCACTGATATTTATTTAGGAAGTGACTGGCTCAGTGGACTCTACAGACAAGAAACAAGGTATATAGAATTTGACAGTTGTGTTGGTTTGGTTCTCCTGTGGACACAATGTTGTATGCTTCATTGTAACAGTTTGCGCACCACAAAACTTTAGAGAAGTCTTTGGACATTAATGATTTAATCAAAATTTACCTAAGTTATTTTAACTTAGTGTGATAGAATTTATTTTTTGTGTTCTTGTTATTGTGATTTTTTTTTTTGTAATATAGTTTTGAATCGTGAATGTTAGTGTGTATGGTTGTATAGTATTTAACTTTTTTATCGTAGACCAAATCACTTCTTATGTGATTTGAAGGACTTAATGATTCAGTTAAGAGTAAAGAAGGCAGTTTGACTGCCCTCTTTACTGCAGAGGGGGAATGAAAATGCACAAACAGATAGGTTACACTCTATATTCCAGCCACTATAAGGAACATAAAACACTTCACAACATGGATGGCTTACACTGGCGTCTCATAATAAATGGCGTGTATCCAATGATACGTCATGATACGTCATTATGTAAATGGAACGTTTGATCACACATCATTATTTTAGTTATTATCGAGCAAAATCTTTGCGTGAACACATTACAGCGTGTTCGAGAGAAGTTCCTTTACGAATACACAGTGTAAGCAGATGTTCGGGAAAGGCTCAGAGTACAGCTTCACGTCTTGAGTCCTTAGCAAGTGCTTTGAAGTTGAGTGTTTCTTCACGATTTCCATGTGAGAAAGATATTATTCATCTATTAAGAATCAATAATTAAAATGTGAATTTCACGCGACCAGATTTGCTACATTAATTTTCATAATTCCGGACAGTTGCCCTTGAGATATAAACGGAAACCTACCATTATTAAAAAAATACACTCGCTGACTAGTCAAGTCCCTGATATTTTTAACCTGTCGTAACCGGGTCCCTTTAATGGAAAATGGAGTGTTGATTTTTGTGAGAGTGGAGGCTCCTGCCGAAGCGAAGGTGACCATAGTCATCGTAATCACCGCCGCGCTTCCCGAACCTCATATGACCGTATTCGTCGAATTCTCGCTTGCCGGCGGCATCACGGAAGTCGAGCAGCTCTGGGTCTTCGAAGTCAGCCACCAGCTCCTCTACCAGCGCCGGCGCCAGCCCTCCCTCCTCCAGCTGGAACGATAGTGTGTCAGGTGTGTTATCTTTAAAACCCTTCAGCTACACATGAGTCATTAACACCGTATTTAGTTCATTAACAGCTAGCAAACTTTAATATTTAAGGAAGAAGAGAAACTTTCAGTGTATATCCACTGCGAGATATACACCTCTAATGTATGTATGTATGAAGGTGGGGTAACTGGAGCTATACACTTATATTTTTTACTTTGAACACGTAGTGTTAGATAAATGTTAGCTGATGGGAAGCTGGCCGTTATTATTTACATATATCTGCTTACTTGACCATCTCCAGAATGGTCACTTATTGTCACTAGTGGTGCAGTTGTAAGGTAGGAGGTGCAATCTTTCAACCTTCCATGACACAGCTGTGGTCCAGATTACTAATGAGGGTGAAATGATCCTCTAGCGAAGAAATGCACTAGCAAAAATTAGTGTGGAAGGAATATTCTAGTTTCTGCCATTGTATTCCCTCCACATTAATTTCTGCGTCATATATAGCTGGTCCGTTTTCTGGAGGAAATACAGTAGGTTCTTCTAGTTTATTCCCTCTGACAGCGTTACACCTTACCATAAAGCAGTTAGAATTGACTCAGTTGAAGGATCAGTCTGTTAATGTTAAGAGCATAATTGTGTATCAGCGGAATGGGTGGAAACTTACTAGGCTGAGGTACACTAAATTATATATCGTCTATTGGCTATCGTATTTCTTTTCAACTAGTAAGAGATGCCTAAGAATAAATGCCTGAAACATTTAGGAAATGCCTTAAGATGCAAGTTTGTTAGGATATTGGATATAGTTCCTTGGACCTGTAATTTACAGCTATTCTTTCTAGTTTCGCCTAATTATTTTGTTTATAAAGTGAATTCTTGTGTGGTTACATTGACACAGTATCTAAGACTAGCTTTTCTGGCACTCGGCGCACTCAGATAAACGTAGTCTCAGTCAAATTTTGTTTTAAATATTGTATTTGTATCATACCTCCTGGCATTATGCTTCAACATTCCTAATTCTTTTTTACTGATTTTGTAATTGAGGAGAAATAATGTGAAACTACTGTAAATGCACATTGGTTTGTAAAGGGAGGAGGGAATGGAACTAAACTGTGTATATATATATTCTTTAAATATAACATTTTCTGAATGTTTAGTCAAGAATTCATGGCGTCGTAAAAAGAGGGGAGAACAGTGCTCCAATTAGCTGTTGTTATATATATGGTTATAACTAACCTTAAATTTTAAAAGGGTGGAGCGGTTAGCCAGCGGAAGGCCTCGGTCAGATTACCAAAAGCTCCAGCTAAGACTCGCGTCAGGAAACATTTGTTCTGTTTCCTGACAAACCATAAACGTAAGTAACCATTCTACAGAATTCATTACCTTTGTAACTTGTGAGCTCATTACTTTTGTACCTAGTTCAGCTATCAAAACTTTGGGGGCCCAGTCCCTGGACCCATTACGTACCTCTGTAATCTGTAAATACCTTTGTAACTTGTCATGATTGTGACCAGACCTACCTGGAGTTCATTACCTTTGTAAATTGTGAGTTCATTACCTTTGTAAATTGTGAGTTCATTACCTTTGTAAATTGTGAGTTCATTACCTTTGTAAATTGTGAGTTCATTACCTCTGTAATTTGCTCAGCTATCAAAACTTTGGAGTCCAGTCCCTGGACCAATTATGTACCTCTGTAATCTTTTGACTACCGCCCACAGGATGGGTATGGGGTGCATAATAAACATATTAAACTAACTCCTGACAAACCTTACCTGACCTAAGCGTACCTGCTCTAGTTTGAACTTTTTTTGTAAATATAATCTAGTTTTTAGTGCAGCATAAAAAAATTAAGTCGCTAAGAAATGTTTTGTTCTGAACTAACGTGATGTATAAAATAAAATACTATTTACCAGTGTTCAAAAAATGGGGCTAATTCTTAAAATTAAAAAATTGCATTCAGTAAATCTGTACGTACCTTGTGTCTGACCACCGGTGCTATGGAGGAACACGTACGTACCTTGTGTCTGACCACCTGTGATGTGGAGGAACATGTGCGGACCTTGTGTCTGACCACCGGTGATATAGAGGAACATGTACGTACCTTGTGTCTGACCACCGGTGCTATGGAGGAACATGTGCGTACCTTGTGTCTGACCACCGGTGATATGGAGGAACATGTACGTACCTTGTGTCTGACCACCGGTGATATGGAGGAATATGTACGTACTTTGTGTCTGACCACAGGTGGTAGGACCCGTGCTAGGGAGGAGTGTATACATACCCTGTGTCTGACCACGGGTGCTAGAACCCGTGCTAGGCAGGGGTGTATACATACCCTGTGTCTGACCACGGGTGCTAGAACCCGTTCTAGGCAGGGGTGTATACATACCCTGTGTCTGACCACGGGTGGTATAACCCGTGCTAGGGAGGAGTGTATACATACCCTGTGTCTGACCACAGGTGCTAGGACCCGTGCTAGGGAAGATGGTCTGGCCGGGGCTGTGACGCCCCCACAGAGCAACACAGCAGCCATCACCGCCAGTATCGCAGCGCACCAACTAGTCCACTTCATTGTTGACACACGTCCTGGGTCCTGTACGCTGGAAGGGGAAGCAATAACACAAAATTAAATAAAAAAAAAACAGTATGTATATCCCACTCTCCTCCCATCGCGGACTTAATTCCGAGCTTCCTGATGGCCGGGCCGAGACATTCTCTACTCCTATTAGCGAGGTCTATGGATCGAACCTCTAATGTTTCACATACACTTATTAAGGTATTAGCATATTGTAGGTCGGCATGATGCAGTGGTGAGATCTTGTGCTTGGGGAGAAGAGACAGGAAATAATGTGTCGTTATATGAATAGACAAGATATATTCATGTAAATAGTTCATTACCACTGTAACTTGTTCATCTGTCAAAACTTTGCGGTCCAGTCCCTGGACCCATCATGTGCCTCTGTATTATTTTGACTCCCGTCCATAGGATGGGTCTGGGGTGCATAATAAATATATTAAACTAAAATTAAACTGCCCAGAGACGACGACGAGGTCACCGCCCCTCGGCCCGGTGCCAGACCAGGACTCCAGCAAAGATAAATAGGTTTAAAATATGCCGCTACTTAATTTTATCAGTTAATATGTATGTGTAAAGTGGAGAAATGCACACGGTGTATACCTCGAGAAGTGTGTATCTCAGTATACACACACACCATGCAGTGTGCATCTCGGCATTTACACATTGATAGTTGAATTTAATCCATATTCTAGGGATTAAGAATTTTTTGTCTCAACGTCGTTTACCTAGAGTCGCTTCTGGAGGTCACCGCCTGCTCGGCCCGGTCCCAGAGCAGGTCTCCTGGTTACTGGCCTGATTAATCAAGCTGTTTGTGCCCTCTGCCCTCAGTCCAATGAATGCACTACAATCTGGGTGATCAGGAACTGTTTTGAGGAATCTGTTGGGGTCCCTCTTGTCTGCCTGAAATGCCCCGGCATGTTAGTGGCTTTCTTTGTATTTAACAAATCAAAACTAATCACACATCGTAAATATTGCAAAGGAATGAAAATCTTTAATCTTTAATCCTTTATCTTTAGACGGCAAAGAGTTTTTGGTGAAACCCTTTTTCATAAGGAGATGTTGAATAAAAGAGTCTGGTCCCTTAACACTTCTTGAAGTCTCTATCAGTGTACTCATACTTTTCCTGCTTTTTACAGGAGGTATCCTGCATCTCTGCCAAATCTTTTGTGTGCGTAAGAGTAATTTCAGTGTGCAAGTTTAGGACCAACCCCTCCGTATCCTCCAATTAAATTAAATTTTCTCACCTATTTTTCTAAAGAATATTCTAGGACCCAGCACCCCAGTAATTAATGCCTGACTGTGTTTTATACAGTTGTAAAGGGTTTCCTTACATTTTCCAACACAGAAATTTTCGACCCCTTGCGGGGGCCGTTATTACACAGCAATACTCCAGCCTAGAAGAACGATGACAGAAGAGGGCACACTGGCTGAGCATCTCTTTTTTTGAAATTCCCATTATACGACCATTTTCTCTTGCAGTTGCATAAAAAATTGCGGGTTTTCCCCTTGAAAGTGGATCTGATTTTTTCATTCCAGGCCTTTTATATCGGGTTTTAAATTGCCTTTGCACTCCGATTATTAAAACCCCACATGTAGTCTAAAAGTCCCAAAATTATAAGTCTAAAATGTGTCAAATTTCCACTTAGTATATAATTTCACACTTAATTTTAAAAGGGCCCAAAAATTTTACCACAATTGGGGGGAAAAAAATTTCTCCCAAAAAATTTTATAAAAACTCAAGAATGGGGCCTGCCCCTCCTATGGACTACCACAGCAACTTCCGACTTTTTCGTAAAAATCTAAGGGAGAGGGGCGGGTTTTGTACAGAGTGGATACTGTGAGGATGACCAAGGCAGACTCAAGACTTGTTATTTCATGCTTTCAAGCCCCGGACAACCAGTACTTTGTTATGTGCGTTTAAAGGGACCAGGAGGGGGAACTCAAGTATTTGTTTTTGGCATGTTTCAAAAACCGGGGAGGCGAGACCAAGTACTTGTTATTGGGCGGGGCTTAAAGGGCCAGGAGGCGAGATCAAGACTTTTTATTGGGGGCATGCTAAAGGACCAGGAGGCGAGACTCAAGTCTTTTTTTTTGGGGGCATGCTTCAAGGACCAGGGGGCGAGACTCAAGACTTGTTATTGTGCTGCTTAAAGGGACCGGAGGCGAGACTCAAGTACTTGTTATTGGGCATGCTCAAGGCCCAGGAGGCGAGACCAAGTACTTGTTATTGTGCATGTTTTCAAGGCCCAGGAGGCAGACTAAAAGTATTTTTTATTGTGCATCTTCAAGGACCGGGAGGCAACTCAAGTACTTGTTTTTGGGGCATCTTAAAGACCGGGAGGCGAGACCAGTACTTGTTATTGGGGCATGCTTCAAGGACCAGGAGGCGAGACTAAAGTACTTGTTTTTGGGGCTCTTCAAGGACCAGGAGGCGAGACCAAGACTTGTTATTGGGCATGCTTCAGGACCAGGAGCGAGACTCATACTTTTATTGGGCATGCTTAAAGGGGCCCAAGGGGGCGAGACTCAAGTACTTGTTATTGTGCTCCCTTCAAGGACCAGGAGGCGGACTCAAGTACTGTTTTTGTCATGTTTAAAGGGACAGAAGGCAGCCAAAGTACTTTTTTTGGGGCATGCTTCAAGGACCAGGGGGCGAACTCAAGTATTTTTATTGTGCATGCTTAAAGGGACCAGAGGCGAGATTCAAGTACTTTTATTGGGCATGCTTAAAGGGACCAGAGCGAGACCAAGTACTTTTTATTGGCAGCTTAAAGGGACCAGGAGGCGAGACTCAAGTACTTGTTTTTGTGCATGTTTAAAGGACCAGAGGGGACTCAAGCTTTTATTGTCACCCAAAAAGGACCAGAGGCAGACTCAATACTTGTTAGGCATGCTTAAAGGACCAGGACAAACCCCCAATACTTGTTTTTTGGGCATGCTTAAAGGGACCAGGGGGGCGAGCTCAATACTTGTTATTGGCATGCTTCAAGGCCCCGGGAGGCGAACTCAAGATTGTTTTTGGGCATGTTTCGGGACCAGGAGCGAGACTCAAGTACTTGTTATGTCATGCTTCAAGGCCCCGGGAGGCAACTCAAGTATTTTATTGGCAGCTTAAAGGCCAAGGCGAGACTAAAGACTTTTTATGGCATGCTTCAGGACCGGGGGCGAGACTCAAGTACTTTTTTTGGGCGTGCTTCAAGGCCCCAGGGGGGCGAGACTCAAGTACTTGTTTTTGTGCATGCTTAAAGGGACCGGGAGGCGAGACTAAGTACTTGTTATTGGGCATGCTTCAAGGACCAGGAGGCAGACTCAAGTCTTTTTTTGGGGCATGCTTAAAGGACCAGGAGGCAGACTCAATATTTTTATTGTGCATCCCCTTCAAGGCCCCAGGGGGCGAATTCAAGTACTTGTTTATTGGGCATGCTTCAAGGACCGGGAGGCAGACTCAAGTACTTGTTATTGGGCTCTTCAAGGACCAGGGCAAAACTCAAGTACTTGTTTTTGGGCATGCTTAAAGGGACCAGGAGGCAACTAAAGTACTTGTTTTTGGGCATGCTTCAAGGACCAGGAGGCAGACTCAATACTTTTAGGGCATGCTTTCAAGACCAGGAGCAGACTAAAGTACTTGTTATTGGGCAGCTTCAAGGACCGGAGGCAGACTAAAGTACTTTTTTTGGGCATCTTCAAGGACCAGGGCGAGACTAAATACTTGTAGGGGCATCTTCAAGGACCAAGGCAGACCAAGTACTTGTTATTGTGCATGCTTAAAGGCCAGAGGCGAGACTCAAGTCCTTTTTATTGGGCATGCTTCAAAAACCCAAGGGGGAACCAAGTACTTGTTATTGTGCTCTCAAGACCGAGCGAACTAAAAGTACTTGTTATTGGGCGTGCTTAAAGGACCGGGAGGCGAACCAAGTACTTTTTTTTGTGCATGTTTAAAGGGACCAGGGGGCAGACTCAAGTACTTGTTTTTGGGCATGTTTAAAAACCCGGGGAGGCGAGACTCAAGTACTTGTTATTGGCATGCTTCAAGGACCAGGAGGCAGACTCAAGTACTTTTATTGTGCAATGTAAAGGGACCAGGAGGCGAGACTAAAGACTTGTTATTGTGCATGCTTAAAGGACCGGGACAGCTCAAGTACTTTATTGTCTGCTTTCAAGGACCGGGGGCAGACTCAAGAAACTTGTTTTGGGCATGTTTCAAGGGACCGGGGCAGCCCAAAGTACTTGTTAGTGCATGCTTAAAGGGGACCGGAGGCGAGACTCAAGTACTTTTTTTATTGTGCATGCTTAAAGGACCAGGAGGCGAGACTCAAGTACTTTTAAATTGTGCATGCTTAAAGGGACCGGGAGGCGAGACTCAATACTTTTTTATTGTGCATGCTTAAAGGCCCAAAAGGGCAGGACTTGTTTTTGGGGCTGCTTCAAGGACCAGGGGGCGAGCCCAATACTTGTTTTGGGCATGCTTAAAGGGACCAGGAGGCAGTCTCAGACTTGTTTTGTGCGCTTCAAGGACCAGGGGGAGACTCAATATTTGTTATTTGCATGTTTCAAGGACCAGGGGGCGAACTCAAGTATTTGTTTTGTGCATGCTTCAAGGACCGGGGGCGAGACTCAAGTACTTTTTTTGGGCATGCTTCAAGACCAGGAGGCGAGCTAAAGACTTTTTTATTGTGCATGCTTAAAGGCCCAGGGGGCGAGACTCAATTGTTTTGGGGCTGTTTTCAAGGACCAGGAGGGAGATCAAGTATTGTTTGGGGCATGCTTCAAGCCCAGGAGGCGAGACTCAATACTTGTTTTTGGGGCATGCTTCAAGGACCAGGGGGCAACTCAAGTACTTTTTTTGGGGCATGCTTCAAGGACCAGAGGCGAGACTCAATACTTTTTTAGGGGCATGCTTAAAGGACCAGGAGGCGAGACTCAAGTACTTTTTATTGTCAGCCAAGGCCAGAGGCAGACTCAAGACTTTTTTATTGGGCATGCTTAAAGGGACCAGGGGGCGAGACTCAATACTTGTTATTG